TGACCCAGAGGCGGTGGACCAGCAGGTGGGCCTGGGCAGCGGCAGCAGCATGTCAAGCCTCGGCGCCAGCGCGGCGCAGCAGGCACCACAGCGCTGCGCACTCGGCCGATGCGAACCCACCACCAAAAAAGGAAAACATTGTGGCAGCCAACATGGCGCTGCCGCGCTTCCCTTCTGATAACAGCTGCTGCCGCTGCCCAGGCCCACCTGCTGGTCCACCGCCTCTGGGTCAAGCTTGGCCTCCACCGCCTGCTTCTCGCTCAGCAGTACAGCGTACTTGTCCTGCGGTACAATTGGCAGTACAGGCGGCACACACGCACTCGGGCGCAGCAGGCGGCGAGAGCAGGCGGCCGGCGGGGGGCGCTGGGCCGCTGCAACACATCCGTGTGCCTCGAATGAAATGGCCGCTGCGCCTGGCTCCAGGCAGCTGCCGGGCAGATCCCCACCTCCAGCTCATCCCTCTCCCGCTGCATGCGCTCAGCCAGCACCACAGACTCCTCCATGCGCCTGCAGGGCAGGAGGGGCAAGGCAGCAGAGCGGTCAGGGCTGGCAGCGTGCGCCTACAGGCAGCAGCAGGCGGGAGCAGGGGTGCAGCCCAGCCGCTCACTTGTAGGCCTCCTTGAGGCGCGCGTCCCAGTCGGCCTCACGCTTGGCCTCGCGCTCCTCCTTCCACCGCGTGCTGCGCAGCGCCTGCTCGCTCTGGAGGCATTGGGGCAGCAGGTGCAGCGAGGCTGGTGCTCAAAACAGGCAGGCAGGCAGGCAGGCCAAGCGGCAACACGGCAGCCTGGCACACCACCACAGGCGGCAACCTCGAGCAGCGCCGCCCACCTGCTCCTGCAGCTCAGCCAGTTCCTGAGCGATAGCCGCCTTCTCGTCCCGCAGCGCCGCAGCCTCCGCCTGCAGTGCAGATGGGCATTGCAGGCGGTACCCATCAGGGGCGCCTCAGGGTGCAGCCAGGCAGTACCACCCCGCAGCAGTTGCAACCCCTCGAGGCGCAAACCACAGCCACACATGATGACACCCACTGCGCCGCCGCCACACCAGCTGCACCTGCGCCGCCTCTGCCATCTCCATCGCCTCCGCCGCCATCGCCTCCGCCTCCTCCACATCCTGCTCCGCAGACTGCAGCGCAGCCTCCAGCTCGGCCTCGCGGCCGCTGCAGCGAGCAGCGCAGGCGGGGCGGAGGGCAGGCGTGGGAGGTAGGCACGGGTGTGTGCCGCAAAGGGTAAGGGGGTGCGCCGCTGAGGCAGGGGACCCGACACCTCCTCTGCCCTCTCCGCAACCCACAACGCTGCCGCTGCCCCTGTGCCCTCTATATTCCGCCCCGCCAGCCCTCCCACCTGCCGCCGCCGCCTCCATGCTGCGCCAGCACCATCAGCTGCTGGATCTTCTGCTCCGCGAGCGCCAGCTTGGCGGCAGCCTCCTCGCCGCCCGAACCGCTGCCCCTGCGCTCGCCGCCGGCCGCCACCTGCTGCTCCAGCTCTCCCACCCGTGCCTGTGCTGCTGCCAGCTGCTCCCGCAGCCGGTCGTCGCCGGCAGAGGCAGAGGCGGCTGCGGCTGCGACTGCGGCGGTGGATGTGGCAGCCGCCAGGTCAGCCCGCAGCTGCTCTACCTCCCGCGACAGACCGGCATTCTGCCGTTCCAGCTCAGCAGCCCGGCCGCTGTCGGCGGCGGGCAGCGGCACGGGGACGGGCACCGCTGCAGCGCCGCCGCTCGAGTGCGCCTGCGCCAGCTCCGCGTGCGCCTCCGCCAGCTGCTTCTGCAGTGATGCCAGCCTGGCGTCGCGCCCCTCCACCTCCTGCCCAGTATCAGGCAGGACATGGGCCAGGCCAGGAGCAGCGCAAGTCAGCACAGCTTGGGGCCTCGGCCGATGCAAGACAGACTCCCTGCCAGCCCCTGCCAGCCAGCCAGGCAACAGAGCAGCCCTTGCCCGCATGGCAGCCAACGGCCACACCTTCCTCAGAGCGTCCACCTCCGCCTGCCGCTCCCCGCCTGTGCTGCTGCGGCTGACGACGGCCTCTTGGCTGGCAGAGGTCGGCGCCGCGCCAGGAGCGCCGCCGGACGCCGCCGCCGCTGCTGCTGCACCGGCGGGCGCCGCGGTCGCCAGCGCGGCGCCGCCAAGATGTCTGGAGCTGTCCACCCCAAAGCCTCGCAGATCCTGCTCCATGCCTGCAGGCAGGCGAGCATCGAGGGAAAGGCCGAGGTAGGCATATGCATGCATGCACGGGGCAGCCGGCGCAGTCCCCCGCTGCTGCCCCACCCCCGCAACTCCGCGGCAGGCGACAGGCCGGCACGCGGCTGGCGGGCGGCGACGGCCGCGCCGGCTGCGCGGCCGGCTGGAGCAAGCCTGGCCTGGCCTGCCTGCCTGCAGCGCTCACCGGGGCTGGACTCTGTGATGCCCGAGGCGCCCGTCAACACCGACATGGCATCATCATCCAGCGCCATCCCCTTGACCTCTGCAGCGCCCACTACCAGGTGAAGCGTGGCGCGCCCCCCGGGCACCGGCACCGCCAGCGCCACGGCCTGGGCGCCGTGCGCCGCCGCGAAGCGCGCCATGTCCAGGCTGGCCTTGCCGATGGTGGCGGGAGGCTTCTGGCCGCCGCCGGGCGCCTGCAGCTTGAACTCATACTCCTTGGCCTCAAAGCTGGCGGGCAGCTTCACCAGGGTGGCGATCTGGCTCAGCTCCTCGTCCCAGGTCACGCAGCCTGCGGAGGCGGGCAGCGGCAGGGGTGGCAAGCAGTCGGAGCAGCACCACCGACACAAAAGGGAGTGGGCAGCGAGAGGCAGGGAGAGCGGCGCTGTGCCGCATCTGCGCTGTGAGGTGGCTGCCTCGGCCGAGCAATGCTACCAGCAGGCCCCGATGCCCACCTGACGAGGCAGGCGCCAGCTTGGTGACCGCCACCTTGGCGCCCCGCGCCCACTGCAGCCGGCAGGCGGCCACGCCGGGCGGCAGGCCCTCCACGCTCGACACCGCCACATCCAGGCGATACTTGGATTTCACGCCCTTGGTCAGCCCCGACTTGAGCTTGCGGAACATTATGGCTTCGGGGCTCTGCAGGCGCGCAGAGACGCAAGGGCAGGAGAGGCAGGGCCGGATACGGGGTCGGCCGCCTGCGCCTGCCGCCAGCCGCCGCTACCGGCAACGACCCCCGTGGGCGGTTGCGCGGCATCCAGGCGGCCTGCCCCTGGGCCTGGCGGCCCTGTGCAGGCGTCAACAAGCACCGGGTGCGCACCCTGCTCTATGCCCACGGGTGCACCCGCCCCTCGGTGTTGCCTCGAGTGATCTGCGCACTCTGGGCGGCGCCTCCTCACAATCAGTCAACGAGGAGGGTCCCGGCGAGCCACGCCGTCGCCCCGCGCCACTGCGCACAACCAAGCAGTATGCGTGGGTGGTTGCCACAGAGCCTCCCGCAATGCCAGAAAACGCGGGGACGATGCTGAATGTGAACCCGCAAAACAGGAGCCTGCGATGCGTGATGGCTGCCAAGAAGGGTGCCGCCCGTTGACCGGCCGCCACGCGAGAGGTTCGGCGCCGATGCCCCAGTCCAAACCTCATTGTTTACAGGCTGAGTGATTGCAGCAATCAAATGCATGAATTTCAATCCAACGCCCTTGCAAACGCGGCCAGTTCAGGCTCGGGAGCGCACTCCTCCTCTTCCGCGGCGCTCTCCACCATCCCCTCTGCTGCGTCGACAGGTGTCTCGTCGGGCGCCTGACCTGCTGCATCAGCCCACAGCCCATCCGCCTCCTCTCTCTTGACCTGAAATTCGAGCATGCCTGCCTGCTGCTGCCGCAGTACCCAGGAAAAGAAGGAGGGGAGCGGCGAGCCTGCGGAAGTGCCGTTGGCGGCATCTGCCTGCGTGACACCAAGAAATGGCAGGGGAGTGGGGCGGGTCAGCAGCACAACTCGGTCGTTAAAAGCAGCACACTCCCACACCTGCTTCCGCCATCACCATGATCAAGCTGCCACCTCACCTGCTGCTGCTGCTGCCCCACCAGCTGGTCCCACAGCCAAGCTAGCATGGGGGTGGCAGTCAGCTCTGCCACCTGGCGCCGGCTGTCGGAGCCCTTGCCGCACAGCAGGTCGGCCGCGGCATTGCCCACGCAGCCGGCATCGATGAACTGGCTGTGGCTGGCCTCTGCATGGGCGGGTGCAGAGCAGGCAAGCAGGGCAGTTGGGCCAGACATCGTCGGAGGTACCATAGAGGCAAAAGCACGCTGGTGAGCTCCTATCAGCAGCTGAATGCAGCAGGCCAGAGCTGCCGCTGCACAGTGTAGCTGCCAGGCCGCCGCTGCCCGCTAGTCGCCGCCGGCGCACCTGGAATGATGCCCAGCCAGCTGCCGTTGCCCGCCGCCGCATACATGGGCTGGTAGCCGGCGTCTGCGGGGTTGCAGCTGGAGATGACTCCTGCGGCAGTCATGCCCACTGCCAGGCCGCTGGCCGCCAGCGCCCGCACCGCTGCAACCGGGACGAAAACAGCAAAGAAGTGCTGGGCTGGCGTTCAGGAGAGCTTGTACCAGCATCAAGACACTTGCACCAGCATCGAGACAGCGGCCCACACTCCGATCCCCGGCATGCCTGCACGTCCAGGCAGGCCTGCCCCGGCGGTGGCGGAGCACCCCGTCGCTTTCGCCTCCCGCCATCCCAAGCGCGGCGCCCACCTGACGGGTTGTCCGCGCTCTCCGGGGACCACCTGGTCACGTCCACAGGGTCAACAAGGTAGGCGGCCTGCACCAGCTGCGGGTTGCCTGCAGGCGCAGCGGGCGCAGCGGGAGGGGCGACCCTGTGTGTCGGTGTCAGCAGCAGTACTAGATGTGGGGGCGGCAGCGACAGGAAAGTGGCGGTCGTGGCGCGACACAACCACAGTGGCACAAGCGGCGGCAGCGGCGGCAACCCACACCACCGGCAAGTGCTGACAGGCGGCCGACCTGTGAAGGCCAGGGTGGCCAGCTTGCCGCCGCGGCTGTGCCCGCCGACAGCCACGCTGGCCATGTCTGCCCGGCCGTACAGCGGGCTAGCGGGGTCGTCGCCCTGGTCAGCCACCCACTGCATCCCAGCATTCACAGCGCTCGTTTGGAGGCACAGCAGCGGCGCTTGGTGCAGCAATAGCGCAGACAAATTGAGGCAGCAACAGCGACGGGACGGCAGCAGGAGGCGCACCTGTAGCAGGTATGGGAACAGCTGCACCTCGGCCGCCACAGTGAGCAGGGGGAAGAAGGGAGTGTCATACTGCACCGTCACCAGCCCCCAGCTTGCCGCCCGCTGCATGAGACGGTGGTACCAGCCAGCACGGTTCTGCAGGGGGGACGTGAGGGGCTGGCAGCGGGATGAGCGCCGGCGCCGCGGAGGCGGCACCCGCCCAAGGCGCGCAGGCGCTTGCAGGCGCCGGCTGCGGCTGCTCACCATGAACCCATTGAAAAAGAAGAGCACGGGGGAGGGAGCGGGGCCGAAGGCCTGCTCTGCTGTCGCCGGGCAGTCGGGCATGGTGACGTTCAGGCGCAGCTTGGCCGGCAGCTGCACTGCCTGCAGGTCGCTGGGCACAGGGAAGTCTGGCTGCCAGCTCTGTGGCGCGCATGGCCCGGGCCGCGAGAAGTCTGCCGCGGCCTGTGCCATAGAGCTGCCCAGGAGCAGCAGAAACAGGCATGGCAGGGTCATGGAGGCGCAATGTGCAGTTGATCGCCTCCACGAAACCTCTTCGAAGCTGGGCCCGGCGAGGCGGAGGCGCCGCCGGTGACCAGGAGGAGCTCATCTTAAAATGATCAGAGAAGTGGTCCCTAACAACATGACGGGAGTCCTTCTCCAGCACCAAATCATTGCCACAATAAATCGGTGCGTGCCCGCCGGACATGGCGGGTCAATCCGGCTCGGCAAATGCCGCTGTCTGCGCCTGCTCGGTCCCCTGCATCCTATGCCACAGGGCACCTGCTCATCACAGTGAAGGTACCCACAGTGCACCTTCTCATCAAGCATGTGCTCCGATGGTGCAGATCTCTGCATGTCTTTCCCCCTCTGGGCGTGCCACTGGCAGTGCCCGCCACCCGCGGTGGCGCAGGTCTGTCGTGGCCAGGCCCGCCGCCTCCCCCTGCGTCATACATGGCTCGCCAAGCTGCTGCTGTCATGTGACAGCCTGACCTGCCATATTCAGGAGGCACTGTGAGCCGAAGTCATGGGTTTTTTTCTCGACCTTTCTAGTTCCTTCTGCGCCTGGCGGCTCTGGCTCACTGCCAAGGCTAGTCGTTCTGTGGCCACTCCATTCTTTCACACTTGCGCACTCATAGTTGATCGCTAGCATAAAACCCCATTTGCAGCACTCGCTAGTCTTCGATCAGGTGCGCAATATGGGGGTCGCCGCACAGTGTGACAGGCAGCGCATGGGAAGTAGCACCAGCATACAGCCACTTGAGCAGCGGGTTTGCCGGGACAGGGCGGGGTGCCCCCAAAAAGCGCGGTGCTGGCGGTGGCGTTGTCCGCGTGGCAGCAACACCGGCCTGCCAACACATGGTGGCAGCATGCCTGCATCCATACTGGACCACCACAGCCAAATCGGTAGCACCCAGATCAAGCAGCTAGCCGACCCCTCGCAACCTCGTGCCTCATCCCTTCCTGCAGGCGGTAGCAGACGCATACCCTGCTTGGAGCCAGCAGCGGCACCGTCCTAGCACGGTTGCAACAAGTAGCAGCAGAGGGGCATCATGGGGAAGGATTACTACAAAGTGAGCACTTGATCAGGCGCCGCCCCGCAGCAAGGCTTCTATGCAGCAGGCGCAGCCAATGGAGTGGTGGCGCCTCGGTGCCTGCGCTGCTTGGTGTGGCTCCTCCCGCCCCCGCGAGCCTGACGCTTCCCCCCTGCCCTGTACCGCAGATACTAGGGGTGGACCGCGAGGCCACGGAGGACCAGCTTAAGAAAGCGTACCGCAGACTGGCCATCAAGTACCACCCGGTGAGCGGTACAGCAGCAGGACCACAGCGCCGTGACGCCGCGCACCCGCCTGCGGTGCATGCTTCCGCCCAGCCATGCCGCGGCCTGCGTCTGTGCCTGCCTGCTGGCCTGCTGCGCTCGCCGTGCTGATGCGGAGGCCTGCCTGCCTGCCTGCCTGCCTGCCTGCAGGACAAGAACCCGGGAGAGAAGCAGGAGGCGGCCACAGAGAAGTTTAAAGAGGTGGGTGGGTGGTGTGGAGTGATGGGGGTGAGGTTGAGGGTGGGAAGCCTCGCCCCTGCAGCCGGCACTCTCCCTGTACAGCCACACAGCCACACACACACACACACACACAAAGCGGCGCACGCGCAGCACCGCCCCCGCCACCAGCCCCTCGGACCCATCGACCCCTGACCCGCTGCCCTACTGGCCCGCACCCCCCTGCAGGTGTCTGAGGCCTACGATGTGCTGTCAGACCCAGACAAGCGCAAGATCTACGACGCCTATGGCGAGGAGGGCCTGAAGGGCGGCGCCCCGCCCCCCGGCACCCCCGGCGGCGGCTTTGCCGGCTTTGCCGGCGCGCCCGGCGGCGGCGGAGGCGGAGGAGGAGGGGTGTATCATGGCATGGATGATGAGGCGGCCCGCAAGATTTTCGAGAGCCTGTTTGGCGGCGGGCTCGGGGGCATGTTTGGCGGCATGGGCGGCATGGGAGGCGGAGGGATGGGAGGCGGAGGCGGCGGCGGCGGGCCCCGCGTGCGCATCTTCCAAACAGGCAAGCGCCCACGGCCCGCATACGAGGGTGAGGCGGCGGCTAAGGGGGCGGCGGCGGGGCGGCGGCCAGGGCCTGCTGCGGGCTGCGGCTGGCGGGGTGCTGGCGCGGCAGGCGCCGCGCCGTGCGCCGCCGACACGCTACCGCAGCAGCAGCTCCCTGCCGCAGCTGCACCCGCCTTCCCCAGCTGCTAGCCGCCAGGCAGCATCACTCCCGTGGCCGAGGGATTGAAAGACTGACACATCTGCTGCCCTGCTTGCGCCCACGACCCCCTGCCTGCAGGTCCCGGCACCGGCGGCGCCAGCGGCAGCGGCCGCCCCTTCCAGCGCTTCCGCTCCGCCAGCGACGTCGGGGGCATGGGGGGCGGCCTGTATGGCGAGGAGGAGGAGGCGGCGGGCGGCTTTGGCGGGTTTGGAGGGATGGGGGGCATGCCAGGCATGGGAGGCATGGGCGGCGGCAGTTTCCGGCGGCAACCCATGGAGCCGCAGAAGGTGGAGGTGAGTGCTGGAGGGGTGATGTGCCGTGGTCTTGCACCAGATGCCACGCGGGCGGCTGCCATGCAGCTTCCGGGCTGGTCCTCTTGTCCACTGCAGCCCCTCCCCTATGCCGACCGCCTGAAGCCCTGGCAGAGGGGAGAGGGTGCAGCGGAACGGAGGACCAGCCCGGCAGCCGCGCTGCAGCCGCCTGCGTGCCGTGTTGCGATGCAGCGGCAGCGGCAGCCCGCGCTGCCTGCCCTCCCTGCGCCCGTCGCCCTTTCCACCGCCTCGCCCGCTCCTGCTGTTGGCCAGGCCGGCCCCACACTCATCAATCTCTCCCTCTCTCTCTCACACACACACACACACACACACACACACCTCTGTTTGCACACGCCCGCTCCCCCACCCGTACCGCAGGTACCGCTGGCGCTCACCCTGGAGGAGCTGTACAGCGGCTGCACCAAGCGGCGCAAGGTCACCCGCAACATCGTGGACGGCGCCAGCGGCAAGGCGGTACCGGTGGAGGAGACGCTGGAGATACCCGTGAGGGCCGGGTGGAAAGATGGCACGCGGGTCACCTTTGAGGGTGCGCGGCGGTGTGGGGTGCGCTGGCGGGCTGCCGGGGTGGGGGGGTGGGGGGCTTCCGTTGTGGCGGCGGTGGTGGTGTGCGGTTCGGTGTGGGTGGGTGGGGGTGGGCAGCGAGGGGTCTTGCTTGGCTGAGCTTGGTCAGGGCCTGCGCCTGGGCCTGGGCTGCCTGCCTGCCTGCCTGCCCGCCTGCCACCCTCCCTCCCTTTGCTCTCCCTCCCTCCCTCGCTGACGGTATACTCCCCCACCCCCCATTCGCCCCCTGGACTCCGCCCGCAGGCAAGGGCGACGAGGTGCCGGGGCAGCCGGCGCAGGACATTGTGTTTGTGGTGCGCCAGAAGCCGCACCCCGTGTTTGCCCGGGAGGGCGACGACCTGGTGACCACGCAGCGCATACCGCTCAGGTGGGTGCCTGCTTCTGCTGGCTGTGCTCACAGCCTGCGTATCCGCCCGCAAAGGAGCCGGCGACGCAGACCCGGCTGGGGTGCTGCTGCTGCTTGCGGTGCCGTGGGCCCGCTGGTTGGCTGGGCGTGTGCGTCTCGGCGGTGTGCGTTCATGCCAGGTGGTTGGAGGGCTGCCTGCGACTGGATGGGACTGAGGGCAAGTATCGCTGCTGCAGCTCCCTCCTGCCGAGGCGCGCCCCGCTCCTGCTCCTCCCTTCCTGCCGACACACTCCCTGCCCCCCTGTCCCCCTGCCCCCCTGTCCCCTGTCCGCAGCAAGGCGCTGGGCGGCGGCACAATCGACATCCCCTCGCTGGACAACCGAGTGCTGCGGGTGCCCCTGAAAGAGGTGGTGCGGCCCGGGTATGAGCGCGTGGTGGTGGGAGAAGGTACGGGAGCAGGGCTGCGGCCGCCGCGTGCTGCTGTGCTGTGCTGTGCCGTGCTGTGCCGTGCCGTGCTGTGCTGTGCTGTGCCGTGCTGTGCTGTGCTGTGCTGTGCTGTGCTGTGCTGTGCTGCGCTGTGCTGCGGTACAGGAGGCTGGGGCAGCTGCTGCCTTGGCCCTGCCTCCTCGCTGCTGTCCCCCCTTCGCCCGGATTCGCGGATGCGGCCCCCCAACGCATACACACACCAGAGCCTCGACCCCTGCCTGCCCCGGCTTGTGCCGCCGCCGTCGCCTGCAGGCATGCCCAACAGCAAGACGGGCGCCAAGGGCAACCTGCGGGTTCGCTTCGCCCTGGAGTTCCCCCGCAAGCAGCTCAGCGAGCAGGAGCGGGCGCAGCTGGAGGCGATGCTGAGAGACAAGATGTGAGGGCTGCAGGTTCGGCGTTCCGGCTCACCAGCCCCGCGCCCGCGCCCCGCCCACACACCCAGCACCGAAACTACACCTGTTTGCGAACTGTTTCTGCAGCTCTCTTCCGCACCCTCGCTTGTTTGTCTGCAACAAGTACATGCAAAGATACGTTGGCACACACAATCTTCCATGTAAACCAACAGAGCCCGCCTATCGCCTGCCGCCACCCCGGCCGCCGCCGCCGTGCTTGCTGCCGCCTCGCTTGCCGCCGCCGCCGCCGTGCTTGCTGCCGCCGGCCTTGCCGCCGGAGGCCTTGCCGCCGGAGGGCTTGCCGCCGCCGGGCTTGCCTCCGCGCCTCTTCCCCTCAATCTTCAGCTTGGTTTTAGTCATGATGCGCAGCGCCGTCTTGCTGAGCTTGCGCCCCTTCTGCTGCTCCTCGCCGCCCTCCTCTTCCCCCTGCCCCTGCCCCTGGCCCTGCTGCGTGCCGTGCCGGCGCGGCCACGGCTGCGCCTGGCGCTGCCGGTGCGGCGCGGGGGCACCCCCGCCGCCGCCGCCGAGGCCTCTGCCGCCCCCCTGCTCCTCCTCCCCGCCGCTGCCACCGCCGTCCTCCTCCACCACCTGCATCTCATCATCGCTGCCTGCCCTGAGCGGGACCACCGTGACGGTGGTGGTCAGCTGCTCGCTGCGGTACACCTGCTGCCGCTCCGGTACCGCGCCCTCGCCTTCTTCCCCCTCAGAATCCGACCCGCGAGGGTCCACCCCCAGCCGCGCCAGCTCAGCCTTCATCGCCTGCCGCCGCTGCAGGAGGACGGGCGGGGGCAGCAGGCGCGCGGCGGTGGGCTGAGGCTCAGCGGGCTCGAGAGGGGCAGCGGGAGCAGCAGGATGCGCAGCAGGATTTTGCTCGCACCGCAGCCCTACAGCCTGCCTGCAGGCCCGGGGGCCGTCCTTCAGGCAGACACCATGTGGCAGCTGCAGGCAGCAGGTGCCGGCGCCAGCTGCCCAGCCGGCCCCTCACCCTCCCTCCTCACGCACCTCCGCCCGCTCCTCCAGGCGCTGCTCCCGCTGCCGGTGCTCCAGCTTCTTCAGCGCATCTTTGCGCCGCTGCACCTTGCGCTTGTGGAAGCCAGTGAGGTAGTCCCTGCAGCAGGAGGCAGCCTGGGCGCTCACGAGGCAGGCAGGCAGCGGCGGCGGCAGGCGGCGCAGCCCAGAAGGCGGAATGCGGCTCCCGGCGCATGCGTGTCGCTGCGCGCATGCCGGGCTGAACTCGTGCAGCACGCATGCAGCACGGGAGGCGCCGGTGCATGGCTCGGCACCCACCTGTGTGCCTTCGGGTCGAACACAACCTCCAGTCCCTTGTCCCGCTGCTTGTGCTTGATGACATGGTTTTGCTGCGCGATGGGCTGCCGCTGCACCCACACCGCCGCCTCTTCCTCCCGTTGCCGCTTATTCTTGCTCGCCATGCTGCCAAAGGTTGATTGCGATGGGAAGATGTCGAAGAATCGAGTGCCGAGCTGCCGGGAGGGGTTTCATGTTTTGGTTGGAAGGCCGCCGCTCACGCTGTGGCGCTGCGCTCAGCCTGCACGAGTCCCGCCTGCTACCACCTGCTTGTGTGGCGGAATGGCTGCTTACACCCAGCCCATCCCAATCTCATAAATACGGCAAGCACAATAAATCAGGGGGCGCTCACGGGGTCGCGGAAAAAACAAGATGGCAACCGGCAGGCAGCGCGCGCCGTCTCGCCGGCTCCGGCCGCTTGGCCGGCCAGGTAGGCGCTCAGCGGCCCCGCATCTCCCGCACCGCCTTCTTCACCTCCTCCTTGTTGGCTGCCGCGGGCTCAAACACGTACCTGCGGCAGGGCAGGGAAGGCAGCAGGGTGGGGCGAGGGCGAGTGGCTCGGAGCCAGGGGACACCAGGCACAGCCGGGTGATGCCCAGGCGGCCCTGCACAGCTGCCATGCAGCGCTGCGACTGCAGCCGCCAAGCACGGCCGGGCGTCCCAACCCCTCCCCGCCACCACCACCCCGGTCCCCCTCGCTCGACCAGCAAACTCCTAGCAATACCACCCCCACCTGCACCGCCATCGTCGACACCGACACCGCACACCCCACCCCACTACGTGCCCCCCATGTGACCAACCGCTCCTTGCACCACCAGCACCACCAGCACCACTGCCACCAGCGCCCCCCTCACTTGATCAGCGACTCCTTGATGCCCAGCAGCTCTGGGAACTCGCCGCTGATGCGGTCGGTGTCCAGCAGGTTGTTGGAGCGGGGGGCCACGATGACCTGGGGGGGGGAGGCGGGAGGAGCAGGGCGCAGGGTTCAGCACTCAGGGGCAGGGTTTCGGGGCAGGGTTCGGGGTCAGCACAGAGCAGGGCAGGGCAGGGCAGAGCAGGCAGCAGCAGGGGCGGCGAGTCGGCCGTTGATCAACCCGGCTGCACGCCTGCGCGGCGGCGACAGCAGAGGCGCCACGCCCTCCACCCAGCGCCGCCAGGCCTGCCCGCCACTCCCCCTCTCCCAACCCTCCCCACCGCGGCCTGCTCCTCCTCTGTTGTTGCTCACAGCCAGCAGCCACTGCCCGCCACCCTACGCAGCCCACCCCCACTCCCCCAACACCACCCCGCCCCACCTTGGCCTGCTCCTCGACAGTGAAGTTGCTCCAGGTGAACTCCTCATCCACATACTCCTTGTACAGCTGCAGTACAGCAGTACGGAGGGGGCAGATTGTGGAGGGGGTGATGGAAGTGGGCAGGCAGGAGGGCAGGGGCCGAGGGGGGCAGGCAGACGGGGAAGGGATTGATCACGCACCCCCAGCTCCCTGCCAGCCCCCCCTCCCACACTCACACGCCCACCCCCAGCCCCCCCTCACCGCCAGGATCTCGTTGTGCGAGATGGCCCCCGGGTTGGTGAAGTTCATGATGCCGGTCAGCTTGCGCCGCGCCATCTCGATCGACAGCGGCAGCAGCTCGGGCAGCACGGTCATGGAGTTGGGGATGTCGATGACCTTGTCGTACCTGGCAGGCGGTACATGCGGTATGGTACGGGCGGTAAGGCCAGGCAGTACAGGTAGGGTGGTGGGTGCACGGTCGGGCGGTGCAGGCGCAGGGCGGGTCCCAGGCGGGGGAGGGCACAGGATTCGAGCCGGGAGCGAGGCATACAGGTGCAGCACCAGGGCACGCCCCGAGGCCGGCCACCGACTTGATGATCTTGGTGATGAAGTTGCGGGGGTAGGTCATGTCGGCCACGATGGGCATGCGCACGCGCAGGGTCAGCACGTTGGGGAACTCCTGCAGTGAGGGGGTGGGGGCCAGGCGGAGGCATGGGGGAGGCGTGGAGGGAGGGAGGGCGCCATGGGGAGCGCAGCGGGCGGTGAGGTGCGGGGCAGACGGCGCGGCGCGCCTCGGCCGCCGCCACGCGCCCAGGACCCTGCGCCACCTGCCATCCACGGTCGCGCTCTCCCCATATTGCAGAGGTCACCGGTCCCCAGCCATGGGCGCACCCCACCCCACCCCTCTTCGTCCCTGAAGCCCCTCCTCCCCTCCACCACCGCACCCACCACCACACCACCACACCAACCACCACACCCCAAACCGCCACCCCCACCACCCCCACCACACCTTGAGCAGGTTTTCCACGATGGCCTTGGTGTGGGAGTAGTAGGAGCCGGTGAAGTTGGGGGTGTCGCTCTCCTTGAAGCCCACGCCGTTGCCCTGCACAAACTTGCCGTCGTCGTAGTGGAAGATGCAGCCTGCGGGGGTGGGCGGGCGGGTGGGTGGGTGGGGCGGGGAACGCGCGGGTCGACAATCGGCACATGGGGACATGGGGGCATGTGGGAGGGTGTGTGTGTGTGGGGGGGGGGTCAGACAACAGTTAAGGGGGCCTGGCCCTCAGCGCAGCACACGAGGCATGCAAGGCGCAGGCTGCGGGGCTGGTGTGGGCTGGCGCGGAACGCAGGCGCGCAGGGTGCGGCGAGTGACGGGAATGCAGGAGCGTGCGGCATGGGCGGCCAGCCGCTGCGCGCGGTTCGGATGGCGGTAGGGATCGCGCCGGCACCCCCAGCAGGAGCGGGGGAGGCGCCCCTCGCCCGGAGCAACCCCCGGCCCCCAGCCCAGCCGGCCCAGCCGGCCCCAGGCAGCCTGCCCCGCGCACCGGTGCCGTAGTAGGTCATATGGAGTCCCTTCTGCAGGCAGATGTCTGCCAGGTTGAGGCAGCCGATCACGTTGGCGCGGATGGTCTCGATCTGCGGCGATGCAAGGGGGCGGCGGCGCACAGAAGGGGCGAGGCGTGTCAGCGGGAGTGAGGCATGTGAGGAGCTGTTGAGATGCAAGGGGGCGGCAGCGCCACGGCAAGGCGGGCTGGGCTGGCGGCAAGAGGCTGGCCTCGGCCCTGGCCCCGCCACGCACGCCGGCGAGCTACAGCCTGCTGCAGCCGTGGCCGCCTTTCCTTGGGAGCAGCAGCCGACACCGTCCCGCCAGAGGCGCACCCACAGCTGTCTCGCTGCTGCCCTGAGCAGGAATCAACACACACACACACACACACACACACACACACACATACACACGCGCCCTCACACACACATACCTTGTGGTCCTCGCACCAGTCCACATTGGGGCGCCCAGTCACGCCCGCGGCGTTCAGCACATGCGTGGGCTTCACCTGCAGCGGTCAACCGGCGGCAGCGGCGGCGACAGCTGGTCGGCACGACTGACACAGCGGGGCGCCAGGCGAGGGCAACCCAGCAAGCAGATGCGCCCGCGCAGGCGCCCAGAACGCCTGCCAGCACGTGCATTGCTGATGCAGGCTGCTCCCGGCAGGGACGCTGACACAGGGTTGCCGCGGGCCGCACCCGCTCAATGTCCGCCAGCACGCCGGCGCGGTCCTCCAGGCGCGCGGTGCCATACTCGAACTGGGCGCCCTGCTGATTCAGGAGCTCGCCCACCAGGCCGCCTGCAAAGGGGCAACGCAGGCGGGGCTTGAGCCACCTCCCCCTTTGGCAGTCTGCAGCAGCAGCCACCGGCCCTGCGCCGCTGCCCACGCCACTCACCGATCCAGCCCGACTTGCCGAAGATCAGGAACTTCTGCGGGGGGCCACAGGGGCGGCGGCGGGGGGAGGGCGGTTGCCAACTGAACTGTGTGGGCGCTGCAGGCCAGCATCGAGCCCGGGGCGCCCGCACCACATCCCAGGGCCCAACCCGCAGCCAGCCAGCCCGCGCACCGGCTCCTGCGCAGACCCGTTTTCGGTGCCAGTCATTTTGTATCGCGAATTCAACAGCAGACGGGCAGGCTAGGCTGGCAAACAGGGCGGGGCACCAAATCGCAGAGGGAGGCCGCAGATCAGCTGCCATCCTTTGAAGCAGGCAGACAGGGCAGGACAGGGCCCGAAGTACATTGCATTCTATCCCGATCGGCATCGATAGCGCTCGCAAGGGACTATCTGCGTTCATACAAATCTCCCTGAGACCATCCCCCAGCCCACAGCCAACGCTACAGCACCAACACCAAATGCTGTCTCAAGCGCTGTCCCTGCGGGCCCCCGCCCCCTTCAGCAGCCTCCAGGCGCCCTGCAGCCGGCATCCGGACCGACAGCAGCGCCGCCTGGTGGCGGTGCGCGCAGCGGAGCAGGTGCGGCGCTGCTGCGGGGGCGCCGCCCGCCGCTGGGGCTGCTCAGCGATTCGCTTGCGCCGCAGCCGATGCCCTGGTGCATCCATGGATCCATAAATGCATGGGTATCAGCACTCTGCCACAGCGAGGCGCCGCCATGCACGCCCCTGACCCACTCTCGCTGCCTCTGCCCCCGCCCCCGCCCCCGCTCCGCCCGCAGCAGCCCGAAGCGGAGGCGGCACCGCAGGAGCCCGCTGCCGCCGCTCCCAAGCAGGACGTGTGCCCCACCTGCGGCGTGGCGCTGGACAAAAAGGCGTTTGGCTGCGACGGCACGGGGCGCATTGCGGGCGGCATCGGCGCGGTGCCGGGCTTCAAGTGGTGGCCCATCAAGGCGTACCGCCCCTGCCCACGGCTGGCAGAGGCGGGCATGGCCTACCAGCGCAAGGGACAGATCACGGACGAGGTGCTGTTTGGGCGGGGGCGGCAGCAATAGCTCCGCCCAGGTGTCTCGCCTTGCCACCAGCTGCAGGCGCCGCCTCGCGTTGCGCACCCAGCCTGCTACCGTGTCCTGTCCAATTTTTCCTTCTTATGACTTTGATTGAATCACTTGTATGCTTCCACTGCAATGAATGCTGAATAAATTGGGGCGAAGGTTGTTGCAGGACGCAGGTCCTTGCCAATCACGAGATCAATTCATTCAGTTGCCCACTGGTGGGCAGCGGCAGGCCTCCCAGCCGTCCTCGACCTGGCTGCCGCCGCTCCTGCCTGCCCCACATCAGCCTTCCAGCAGCACCTTGCCGCCCCTAGCGGCGGAGGTGGCCACGCCGATCGCATCCGCCACCTTGTCCAGAGGGAAGCGCTGGCCTGCTCGGGCAGACAGGGGCAGCAGGTGGGGAGGCGGCGTGGCAGGTGAGGCGACCAGGCAGGCGGGTTGGCATGCAGGCATGCTGCCCTTCCTGCCTGACTACTGGCGCAATGCGTCTGCGGAATGGCGAGCCAGCGAGACATGTGCAGGTGGTGGGCTGTGCGCTTGGCACGCAGCGGCTGCGAACGCGGCACCAGCGGCGGCAGCAGCTGGCGCCAGCGCCCACGCCAATTCCACGCGTGCCTGCATAGGGGGTGATGACCTTGTCTGCCAGCAGCTGCATCACAGCGTCGAACACTTGGGCCTTCTCGTCGGCCGACAGGCTGCAGCAAGGCGGGGCAAGGCACCGACAGGTCGTACCGCCGAAAATAATCATCAGCAAGTAATCCGCTGAGCAGAGGCGGTGTTCGAGCTGGGGCACGGCATGGCGCTGAGCAACAGGCACAGGGGCTGTCGTTCAGGGACCCCCTCCCAGTGCCTCCTGCGGAAAAGCAAGATAGACTGCTGCCAGCCAGCTTCAAACAACAAATTAAATAAAAGCACATGCGGTGGGAGGAGGCCACGCACCTGCCGATGTGATTGTTGATCCAGTACCCTCGGATGGTGACGCCGCGGAAAAGCGGGTCGGGGATGCTGCAGCGAGTGGAGGGAGCGGAAAGAGGCAAGCGTGTGTATACCTGGGCGGGCGCGCTTTCCTCAGGCACGGCTCCACCCAGCCAGAACCAAGCAGCCCACCTGAAGGACGCCGTCAGCCCGCTCATGGCCCCGTAGATGATGACGGTACCGGCATTCCGCACAGCGCCCGCCACCGCAGCAAACAGGTCCCCGCCCACGCAGTCGATGGCGGCATACGCCAGGCTGCCGCCAGTGGCGGCCTTCACCGCATCCGCCAGCCCCGCGCCATCGGAGCTCACTACCGCCTCATCCACCCTGCACGCAGGCGCGCACCGGCCGGGAGGCAGCGGCGCTCTTGCCTGAGCGCACAGGGGCCCTGCTGCTGCTGCGCCGCCTGCCGCAGCTGCCGCTGGCGCCTCTGTGGAGCCTCCCACGCCCATCAAGCAAGGGCAGCATGGCAGCCTGTGCCGCCGCAGAGCGGTGTGCGTGGTGTGCAGAGCAGGGCCCAGTCAGCGGCACTCCGCTGCCCTGTGCGCCTCACCCCAGGGACTTGAGCTCGTCAGCCAGCTCCTGCCGCCGCACCACATTGATGGTCTTGATGCCGCGGTGCCTGGCCAGCTGCGGCAGCGGGGCAGGGGCAGGGGTGTGAGGGCTAGGCGCGGGCTTGGGGGCCCAGCCAACAATCAATCATCCGACGGCAAGGAGGAGGCGGGCCACACATGCCCTGGCATGCAAGCGCATGGGTGCGTATGCAAGTGCATGGGTGCGTGTGCACCCTCTCCCGCTCAGCTGCACGCCGACGCCCCGCTGCCCCGCCTCTCGCCTGGATGATCTGGCGGCCCAGCACGCTGCCCGCCGCCGTCTGCAGCAGGTACTCCCCTGGCGGAACCGCCAGCGCCTCCAGCATGCCATACACGGTCACGGGGTTGATGTACCACTGCCGAGAGGGGGAGGGGAGGTGAGGGAGGGGAGGGTCATGGGCAAAGTTGGAGCGGATTTGGAGGCGCATGAGAGGCTGTGCTCGACCACCCCCGCACCCCCACACCACCATCCAAGCATCCACCCGTCCAAGCCCCGCACCCACCACCATCCCGCCACCGCCGCGCCACGCCACGCCGGCAAGTCCTCGCCCCACGCACCGACGCGGCGGCCTCGTCTCCCACCGCATCTGGCACGGGCACCAGGTCTGCCTCCCGCGCCACAATGTACTGCTGCCAGGTACCGCCGCCGCCCTGAACCGAGGTGAAGGGGGCCCCCGACACGCGCTGCCCCACCGCAAACTTGCCGGCGCCGGCGCCGTTCTCGGCCACCACGCCGACGCCTGCGGGGGTGCGGCAGAGCAGAGGCACGGACGGGCATGCTTCACTGTTGAGCAGGCAGTGCGGGCCCCGGGCTGCTCCGCTGCGCTTTGGCTCAGCGGTTGGGAAGCCAGGCAGCGCAGCTGGGAAGAAGCCGGTGCCGGGCAGGCAGGGAGCTGCTGAGGCAGCGCGCGCGCTACAGACCTTCCAGTCCGGGCACCGCCGGGAAGCTGGCTGGGTCGGGAGTGAAGCCCGGATCTGCAGGCAGCACAGCACCAGTCAGCAGGCGGCCTTGCCTGGCAACGGGGCCCAGGAGCGCAGCAAACGCAGCGGCCGGCGCCACCCCAACAAACCCAAGCGGTGCAGCTGTGTCAGGCACAGCGGCGTGCCAATGGCGGCCAGAGACGGAGAAAGCAGGGCACTCACAGACTCCCATGATGGCAAACATGTCGGCGGGGTTGACGGGGCGCAGCGTCAGCCGCACCAGCACCTCGCCCTGCACCAAAACGAGAAGGTGGGTGCGGCGGCGAGGGGCGGGTGCAGGCGGCGGAGAGGGCGGGGGCGCTCACCGGGCCTGGGGCGGGGCGGGGCCCTGACACCACCGTCATGGTGCTGGTGGGGTTGCCAATGTCGAAGCTGCTGAGCTTCACAGCCTTGTTTTCCGCCATGATCACCGGTGTTGCTGGAGGAGTTGTCAACAATGGGCGGGCTTCTGGAACGGGCGGCCAATCGATCGGCGGCACAACGGGTGGATCACCAAACGGCGATGATTAGCCAATGCTGGAAGTGTCGTACGAAAGTGTACCTGCCGTGGTTGCGACAGCTGATCAAAACAGCCATCGGATGGCCGTTTGGCGCCGTATCGTCACTCCAGCTTCGCAAACAACCGGCAGTTGCCCTTGAATCGATTGTCCACCCGCAAGGATAAGCCTGTTCCTTTCAGCCCGTCACCGCAGCGCCTGAGCAGCACGCAGCCAATCAATGGATGTCACCGCAGTCTCTTGTTGTGCAAGCCGCGCCGCCTGCTTTGCGCCACGCCGCCAGGCACCGCGGCGGCGGCGGCATGTGGCGGCGCCTGTGCGCTGTGCAGCACCAGGAGAGCACGAGCCAGCAGCCCCTGAAGCCGCCGCCATCGCCAGCAGCAGAAGCAGCGGTAGCGGCAGTGGCGCCCTGAGGCGGCAGGTGCTGGCCCGCGGCGCCCTGGGCGCCGCGGCGCTGGCGGCCGGCGGCGGCGGTTTGTGGGTGCAGCCCGCGGCAGCTCTGGGGTTCAAGAAGGACCTCACCAACAAGCGCAGGCAGAAGATCCCGGAGAGCGAGTACAAGGAGGGACCTGAGGGCCTCAAGTGAGCCTGGGCGGCCAGCAAGCGCCTGCCAAGACGCAGCACACGCCACCACGTGTGGGCCTGCTGCCTGCGGAAATCCCAAGTGGCAGGGAGCCGCACACAAACAGTAGTAACGTCCCGCATTCTGCAGGTACTACGATGTTGTGGTGGGCACGGGCCCTGAGGCAGCCGAGGGCAGGCGCGTGGTGGTGCACTTTGACTGCAAGTGGAAGGGGGTCACCTTCATCACGACGCGGTGAGTGGAGCGGGGTGCCCTCCCTGCTGCGCGGCATGTGGTGGGGCTGGAGGGGATTGGGGTGCCTGCTGCCAGGAGGGCCAGGCTGGGGAGCAGCGCAGGTCCCGCTGCTGCTGCAAGCCTCATGGCATGAGGGTGCAGGAGCAGTGGCTGTTGCCTCGTGCCGCAAACTCTCCTCAGAAACCCGCCTGCCGGCCCTCCTGCCCTGCCCCAACGCGTCTGCGCCCGTGCCGCGCAGGCAGGGCATGGGCGTGACGGGCGGCACGCCGCAGGGCTTCGATGTGGGTGCTCGGGTGGGCGCGGGAGGCACCCTCAGGGGCCTTGACCTGGGCGTGAGGGGCATGCGGGTGGGCGGCCGCCGCAAGCTCATCGTGCCACCCAGCCTGGCGTACGGCGACAGGGGTGAGAGCGGGGCGGGGCACCCATGCTTCCGTGTATGTTTGTGCTTGTTGCTGCTTAGCTGGCACTTCACATCTCTGTGGTGCATGGCTGCCGTCAGCTCGTGTCTTGAGGTGTTGGGGTTTAGGTCCTGTACCGTGTGTGTGTGCACCCAGTGTTGGGGGGCGTCTGTTTTGCGGGAGGGGGGCCGCCGGCCTGGGCCAAGCTGCTGCTGGCAGGCGCCGCGGCCCCGATGCCCCACCCCGCCTCCGCCGTGCTGCAGGCGTGGGCGAGATCCCCCCAGGGGCGGTGCTTGACTTTGATGTGAGCTGCTGCCCCGCGCCCAGCTTGCCTGAGCGTGCGTCAGCTGCCTGCCTTGCTTCCTGCCAGTACCGGAAGGCCTCGCCCGCCCTGACATCGGCAGCCTACTGGGCTGCAGGTGGAGCTGCTGTCCATCAAGCAGGACTCCATCGGGTTCCGCGTGAAGGTGGTGGAGGGCTGAGGCGCGGGCACGCGTACCGCCGCTTGCCCGCCTGCCTGCTGTGCCGCCCGCCAGGGATGGAAGGCGCGGCTGCAGCGCCACCGGTGCGTCCAGCTCCCGGAGCAGCAGGGATGGACCGGCTTCGCGCCACGCGTTTTGCCTCCTCCAGATGTGCCGAGAAACGTTTCTGCTGCCGCATTCGATTCAATGATGACTGCCATTCTTTCTTTCTGCACACTTTCCCTGCCTCTACCACTGTGGTTGTGCATTCAGTGCAGCCGCGCGAGTTTCGAGTTGCAGTCCACTGATGTGGGACTCATGGTGAGGCTGTCAATGAACATGGGTCGGTCAGGAGGTCAAGACAACAGCAGCTGCGGCTGCCATTGCTGTCTGGTAAAGCAAACGGAATGATTTGGTACAGAAACAGAACGGTGGGGTGGAAGGGGGTGTGCGCCTGGCAGCGCCGCTGGCGCCATTTCCCACAAGCCGTGCGCCCGTCCACGCACGCCGTGCATCCTGCTTCACCGCACCCGCATCGGCTTGACCGCCACGTCAGAGGGCGCCGCCGGCTGCATGGCAGCTTCCATGCCGCGATGGTACTCGCCCACCTGCAGCGCATGGCCACAGCACAGCACGGCAGGGCGCAGTTGTGGTACGCCAGGTGTGCGGGCGGCCAACATGGTGTGTGTGTGTGTGTGTGTGAGTGAGTGAAGGATTGTGCTCAAGGATGCGCTAGCGCAGAGCGCACCCAAACCAAGCACCACCACCCCCCGCCCCACCCTTGCCGTCCCCACCTCACACACACCCGCG